TACAGAAACAGGAATAGGGAGATTGGACTACTTTTAGGTAATAATTAACTAATAATTACCTTAAAAAGTCACCATCTCTTTTCAAATCATACCATAATAGTATCAGCTTCAGATAAGGTCAGTAATGGTTATTCAATACTTATCCCATGACTAGCATATACCAGTTTTCTCATATTTGAATAACATATAGATCCTTTTTAAAGATTCTCTAGCATAAATTAAGTTCACTAGTGACATACTGAAATATGTTAACATCAAACTAATTATGCTTATATGCTTATATGCTTATATGCATCAAACCCCATATGCTTATAACTCTTATGTAAATACAAAACAAAAAATAGAAATCAAATAAAAATACAACAGACAAAATATCCAAATTTGCAATCTTAATTTAATACAACAGATGATGTTGCTTTGCTGAAACCAAATCCTATCTCAAAACATGAATGTGTTTACGAGTATTTGTGTCAATACTGATCTAAGTATGCCTGATGATTATAGTGATATGGGTACTGTATGATGATATAGTTCTCCCACCACTTTTCTCCATTTTATGCCACACCTTTGTTCATACAGCATGTCATGACATCATTTGAACACATTTTAAAATAAACAAAACATTTATATGTTAAGTTCCTAGATTTTTCCTCATTAGTCCAAAACAATAAAAGTAATAATACTTGACACCAATGTGATCATAAACATGAATGCAAACACAAGAGATATATAGTGACAGAACTGAGTTACAGATTATTGTTAGATTATTATAGTAATAAAAAGGAAACTTCTGAATCCCAATAATATACTCTGTAACCACTAAGATTACATCACAGACACATTTGAATAACACTGGAATATGCTTTTTTTTTTTTTTTTTCAAATGATATAAGAACGGGAACTTGGTTCACAGAAGCTCAGAAGTTCAGGTAAGGCTGAGTTTCTGTGACCCAGAAGTTAATCTGTGGATAGTTCACTTTAGCAGTGGGAAATTATCCAGATAGAGTAAAAGCATTCAGAGATTGTAATGACAGGAAGTAGGAAGTCCAGTCATGCGAAGGTAGCAACGTATGGTCTCAAACATCAGTAGGCAAACTCAGGGAAGTTTTACTTCCCTCTGGAAGAACTGGACAGAGGGAATCACAGCAGGGATTCAGGATGGAGGGGTCCAGCTGCTGGTCTGGGAAAGAAGGCAGGACCTTGGTTTTACATTTCACGGCAATAACTTTATCCTGAAATTCTGCGTGAGGCAGTACCAGGTCAGGAACAATGCTCAGTTGCTGTGCAGAAACCTGGTACCCAGTTTTGGGCTAAGCAAAGTAAAATGAGGAACAAGGAGTGAGGTAAATTAGTATAAGCACAGAGCATAAGGGATCTTGATTTGAATCACAATGGTAGAAAGGGGAAAATTGAAGGGGAAACTGCACCAGTAGAAAGGGAAAATTGAAGTGTAGTGGTGGCAAAAAACGAACTGCAATTTTTTTTAGAGTAATGTCAGTTACTTAAAACGTTTATGTTTAATTTATTAATTGTAATTTTTTCAGCTGGTAAGTTGGTGATTAAACCCAAGTGATCTATAATGATCCCATCAAATATTTTTAAAAATTTTATGACTAAGAAAGATTGATTCTGCATGTTTACAATAGCAGTTAGATGTTTAGCCTAATATAAATTTTCTAAGTCTTTGAAAGGGAAATCTTTTATTTTTTAAATTAAGAGTGGCATTGTTCCATAGAAATAATCAATGCCAAAATGGCTACTAATAACATAAATCAGAATTGTTTGAAAAAATGGGAACAGACCATGGATATCAAAGAGATTATAACACAATAGGAAATTTGAAGATGCTTACTTATGTACTTACTTCCTTTGCATCATGACAAAAGGAAAGACATGGGAACAGCAAGATGGAAGGTCACAATAATTTGTCACTGTTTACTGATTTTAATTTATTGCCACAGAAAGGTATGATTTCTCTCCGAGATGATGGGGAAGTCCTGATTTCCTACTTGACTTTGGTTTAATTTTTAGCAAATCAAATGAAAAAAATTATTTCATATTTTAATAGAAGAATTCCATTATGCCTAGGAGTTGTTTGCTGTAATTAGAAGCCAGAACGCACATGGTGGTGGCTTATTTTTCTCTTGAATTTTAAGGTTGATGTAATGAAGAGTCCACTAGCAACAGAGCTCATTGGTGATGGCATAATGAATATCATATAGTGTGATTAGTAGTTTTATTTGAATGACCGTTACAGTATAGATATGGCTACTCAATTGAAATGAGGGTAAACAAAAGGAATCTGCATTCTCTTCTGATATATGTCTGTGCAAGTTCAAGGTGTAGGTATAGAATCTTGCTGATTACACTCAGTGTTAGGTAATGTTGAGATAGATTATTTCATGTGTAGTGAAACAATGAGGATAAATTTTATGTAAAAAAAGTTACATTCCTTTTTTAACTGTCAGCATCCTTCATGTATTAGCAACAGACCTATGGTGTGTTTACTACCATTTATACACAGGTTTATATATTGCAGTCAAAAGCTACCCCGTCATATCATCAAGCTTGTAAGTGGCAAAGGTAGACTATTCTGACAGTAAAGTGAATCTTTTCAGAGATTATTTCACTAAAGTTGGTTTTTAGGATATATACATCATCATGTAAATGTATGTATATCATATATATGGTATATATTATATATCAACTTTGCCAGTAGAAGCACAATATAGTATCCCATACAGACGATATTCTGTTCCATGGGACAATTCAAGTAACTGTGGTTCCTGTTTCCTGAACTGGAAATTGAGCTCCATGTTGTAGATACAGATCTGAACATTTTGTCAGAAGTATTTTGAAAGAAAAATATTGCAAAAAACCTAGCTTAGATTATTATGACTTATACACACAAGAAATCCATATTATCTGACTCTTTCCCATATGGGCCATCTTCCATTTCCTTAGGAAATTCCTTGGTTTGGTTCAGTAAAAATGAAAATTTTATCTCCTGTCTAATAATTGCAAGTTTCCAAAACTTCAAAAGACATAATGAAAATCATACAGGTCATGAGTTGTTCCCAAGGTGATATGTACAGAGAATCACTACATTCTCAAAATGTAAATTAAAAATAACTCTAATGAAAGGAGCCAAAATGGATTTGATTTGCACACAGTATTTGGTGGAGATGACTTAATTTTTTTTTCTAATAAGATTGTGTTCATACTGAATTGTAACAAATTATTAGGTGATCTGTTCCACAGAGTATATAAGTTTTGTAAATTCTTGCTTTCTCTTTCTCCCAAGACTTCCAGACTCCCCCAAGTGGATATCTGAGAAATTTAGCCAAGTACCTCTAAATAACTCACACTTCATAATGAGCTTTGATAAATCCATACCAACTTTTTTTCTTTGTTTGAATTGAAGAAAGACACATGGAGAATTTCCCTTAGATGAATCTAGCACTTCCCTCTTTCACCCCTGTAAGTTACAAATTACTCACATGACTATTGCTTCTTATAAATACTCTTTTTCTCTCTTTGTTCTTCCTCTTTCAAAGAGTGAAATCGAACTGGCAGATTCATTTAAGGACCATATTGTGGTTTGCAGAGTCACTGCTATGTAAAATCATATATATGGGACACCCAGAATGGACTGTCTTGACATCTTGAACTTCAAATAAACAAGATCAACACAATTTATATCAAAGTGCAGTATGCTCTGACTCAGGAGCATCAGAATGCCTGGAATCTGCTTTAACCAATTAAGCCATTCTAGGCAAGAGGAAAATAAAGCCTTCAGTAAATCCATTGAAACCACCATCTCCCAGCCTCCCACTGCCTGTCATCGATCTTTTTAAGAGCGGACTAATGAGTCGCATATACACCTGATGGGATGCTCTCACCCTACCACCTCCGAGGAGTTAAACTTACACAAAGAATCAACTGGGTGAGAGGGAGGGTGGCAGGGCACATCTAGGCCGATGGCTACCTTGGCCCCTTAAAACCCAGCGCGATGGTTTCTCTTCAGTGAACGCAGCGGACCCCATCCCCTACTTTCCTAACGAGCCCATTAGTTCCTTTGCGGGAGATTTTCCTTTCAGGTCGCTTCTAGGGCAAACGCTTTTGTTCGCTATCACTCTCTGTGGTGGGAAAAGAACTGTAGAGAAACGCAAAGCAAGCTCGTGGCAGCAGCACGGCAAAGCATCCCTTTCCGTTCAGCTTTGGCAATTTAGCAGGAACCTAGGTTCTCAGGGGACGTGGGTGAGGGGAACTCCGGGTCGAGGAACACATAAGCCAAGAATCTCTGTTTTTACCTTCTATCCATTTCACTCGTATCCTCACAACTACCCCTCCCCGCCCCCCAAACTATCAACACAAACCTTTATGATCTCTACAAATGGGTGGTGGGTGGAGGGACATTTTCTTCCTCTAAGATTCGGAACAGAATCCAGCCTCCATACTAAAACCACATTAAAAATAAATAAGATCAAATAAGCTAAACGCAATGGGTAGTAACTATCTCAAGAGAGAAGCAGCTGCTGGCACCTGCCTGGATACGCGGCAGTTGCAAGCGGTTGGCTTTTCGTACTGAATTATTAATTTATTTACCACCCCCCATCGTCCCCTCCCCCTTCCCTGACTGCTAGGCAAGAAATCTCCGTGTCTCTACATTTTCCCCTCCGCCCCCACCTTACAGGAGTCTCCTACTTCTCGGTCTCGGGCCGCTCTGCCGCCCGCCCGCGGTGGCCTTCGAGTCCCTGGCCCTCTGCCGCCGCGGCACTGCGCAGGGGGGCGTCCCGCTCGCCGCGCGCTCCCACTCGCGCCCAGACCGGCGCTGCCATGGGTCCCGGCGGCGGCGGGGGAGGGCGGAGGGAGGCCGCGGGTGACAGATGTACTCCTCTGACAGCTCTCAGTATCAGCCCAGTGGCTCCCTGCCATTGGCTCAGTGCAATGGACCGGCAACGCCGCTCAATATAATAACACTCATGCCTGCCAGCAGCAGCAACTCCGAGTGTTGGCACCGAGAGCAGGGGATGCTGCTGCCGCCGCCGCCGCCGCCACCGCCGCTGCCGCTCGGGCGGCTTCTGCTGCCCGGCTCCGCTCGGCCGCGCAACCGGCATTGACTCGCGCTCAGCTCCTGGCTGCCTGGCCGGCCCCTCCCAGCCCGGGATCCTCCCGCGGGGCGAATCGCCCTAAGGCGAATTAGGAGAGAAACAGAGCCTGAGACAGACAGCGCGGCGAGCATGCGGAGGCGGAGGAACCTCGGCGCGCACGGCGGAGGCGCGTAGTGAGCCTGTCTCCGGCGAGCGTGCGAGAGAGGCGGCGGTTCGCCCTGGCGGCGGGTTCCTAGCCCAACCTCCCCGGGCCCCGGCGCGCTGCGGCTGCGGGCGCGGGGTGCCTGGAAGCGGCGGCTGCGGTGGAGGAGGCGGCGGCTGCTCCATGGAGTGTTACTACATTGTCATCAGCTCCACGCATCTCAGCAACGGACACTTTCGCAACATAAAGGGAGTTTTCCGGGGCCCTCTCAGCAAGAACGGGAACAAAACTCTGGTAATCGCTTCTATTTTCCTCTCTCTCTCTCTGTCTCCTGTTTAAGAGGACATTTGGAGGATTGAGGTTACTGTGAGGGTTTGGGGGTGTCAATTCAATTTGGTTTATAATATATTCATTTATTTGTCTTGTGAGCGTGGGGTGAGAATTTGGTGTAGAAAAAGGCAGGAATCTCAGGGAAGCTGAGATCCATGGCTTTGGTTGACACTTTCCCAACGCTCGGGACCCTCCAACTCATTCCGTCCTGGTGAAAATTACCACGGTTTCTCTTTATTCGAAACAAATTATGTCAACAGGATCTCTTCTTAAGAAAGAAAAGAAAATAACCCTAACCCCAAGTGACCCTATAGCCTCTGTCGCTTTAGGAAGCTGAAGGTAATGAGGATGTGGGTGCCTCTTGTGGAGGCGGGGGGCCATGTGACTGGTGGTGCGGGGCAAGTGGCGGGACTGAGTGATGGTCTCAGAAGGAGTTTGTGTTCCGGCTGTCTCCGGAAGGACTGGCAGCAAACTTCTCTAGTGAGAAGTTGTCAGTACAAAGCTTAACTGAGTGACTCCAGAACCCCATGCCGTCAGCTTTAAGTTATTCACTCAAAAGAGGTTGGAGATAAGTGTGACGGGTGAGCACTCTGACACAGTCAGAGCCACAAGGAAAAACGTGCTAGACAAACAGAGCCCGTGCAGTCCTGGGAGGTTCTAACTGGACCACCGAGCTTCTCTTTCACCATTCTAGTAGGAAAAGGACTCCTGACTGGTGAGAGATGTGCTGAGCATTGAGATAGTACAGGGTGATGGCCCTTACTTTTTCTTTCATATCCACTCTTAGCTGCAAAACCTCCCTGCAGAACTGACTCCCAAGTCTTGGTATCTCCTGAGAACTATACACCCAATAACGAAAAAGGGAAGTAGAGAGAAGGCTCATTAGGCTAAGTACTGCAAACAGAGTAGAGCCGAGTAAGGTGGTAATATGCAAATGTATGCGTCACTAAAGTCTGGGTCTATTAGCAAGCAGCACCCCATGTCCCCTTTTTAACAAAGTGATTCCTGAGCTCTGAATAGGTAGAGTAGAAGTTTAAGGATAGAGTCAATTAGTCCAAAAGTAAATACAGTGTTCTTAATCTATTTTCTTTATATATCTTAAAATATGATTCTACATAAATTTTTTTCTAAATGTGCTGTGCATCTGTCTTCCAAGAATGAAAAGTTCTCTTCTGAAGTTTTAAGTGAATTCTGACATTGATGTGATTCATTTGATTATTTTCTTTTTTTCCTTGAATCTCTTGAACATCTTCCTCTCAGCTCATTTAAGATTCAAAGAAGTAAGGTTAATTTATCGCTTTTATTATTGTCCTGGATAAGATTGTTTACTGTTGTTGTTGATCAAAGAAAATACTCTTCTGTGGTCTTCCTTAGTGGAGTACTATACAGAGCAATAGGCACAGGCTAAGGTAATTATGGAAAGTGTTCTGGCTAGACTTAGAAAAGTCAACTATATGTGAAGGTAATTTGGGGGAGGGGAAGCGCTTCATTTTGAAAAAAGTGTGCACTGGTTTGTATTTTAAATCAAGTTTCACTTATGAGAAAAGGCAAACTTATTGACTGAACAAGATCTCATCTCCATAGTTATAATAATGGTGTAGGTAATAAAGCCACAGAATAAAGTTCACAGAAAAAAACATATTTATTTGCCAAACCTCAACTTGTTAAAATTCTGGTAATCTTGATTCTTAAGTCAACCTTGGGCTTCCATAAATGATTGAACTTGCTTAAACTGATGTTTGTTGTCGGTTTGAAGTTGATTAGTTCTTTATCACTCATATTGACAAAAGGTAGGTTAAACTGTAGATCTGCCAGTTTAATCTTCAAATTAAAATAGGTGTTAAAGAGCAGCTACCTAAATGAGATGAATAAATCTAAATATATGCAAATGTCAGAAGCAACAAACTGGGATAAAAAGGCTTAGAAATAGTTCCTGTCCTATTTTATTTATGGTAAAAGGACTTATAGGGACTTCATAGCTAATCCTTCAAGATTGTGTTTACAAACTGCCCAAGGTAGTGTTTCCTGTGCAAGAGATTTACACCGACTGAAATGATGTAGATTTTTCATATATGGTTCCACTATATTTGAAACTATTACTTCAAAAAGTAATATATGTCATGTGTGGCTTTTCTGTGTCTTTTGATGATTTTGTTATTGAAGAGAATGAGATTTATACCTGTCTATAACAGGAGAGATTCTAAATATATTCATAAATGAATTTTTTAATTAAATAATTTTCTATTCTTATCTAAAAATGTAGTTTTTACAGCAAGTAGGATGCTGTGAAGATTTATTATAAGCTAAAACTTACTATAAGCTAAAAACAGAAAACTGAACCTGAAACTTCTCAGAAATAGCAACCTTAATAAGAAACACAAATATTATCTTAAAAATATATATATTCCACAATTTGAATATTTTCAAGTAGGGATTTATGGTTGTCATGTTTTTAATCCCATTTTTATAGAGTAGTAATTATTAGATCTTTTTACTTTCTTGTCTATTTGATTTTGACATATTGTGAACTTTGCCTTTGAAGACATCACATTTTTGCATTTTGAAATGTGTATTAAGTTAAAAAAATTTTAATTTTTTTTTTTTTTTCTTATTTCGGGAAAGCACAACTTAAAACACAAAATCCATTGAGGGATTTTTCCAAAGAAATTCCAATTAGTTTTCAACCACTGGATAAGTAATGGATATTCTGAACATTTTTTAAATTCATATTTTTAAAACATTATTTTCTAGGCTTTAAAATTTTTGAACTGATTTAAGATAGGCTATAACTGTTAATACAGTGTTCTTTCAAGAATTAGAAGTTACCTATAGAATAAATTTACTTACAGAATAAAACTCATTGTTTTCTGACCTTGGTTAATTGCTTTAGTCCTAAATCCAGAATGTAATCCTGCTACTCATACTGAGGATATTATCAAAATGTACAGACCTTTCCATAGATCATATTATGTCACTCACACAATAAAATTTTAAGGATACTTAAAGATTAAGCCTATTGTTAATCTTGATCCTATTCTTGGGCTTTTAAATATATTCCTTTTCACAATTTTAACTGAAAATACGCAAATCTCCATTTTGCAAGGTCTTACCATCAAAGAGAAAGTTCACTCTACTTGTGATGATTTCTGTTATAAATAGCATCATGTGTGATATAGCTTTAATTCCATGGAATAAGAAGTAAGCTAATATTTTATTAGTGCTCCAGAATATGTCTGAATAAGTTATGTGGTTTAATGACAATGAGTAAAGTTTACAATCCATGTATTCTTATTGTTTTTCTTTTGATTATCCCAAACCACCATTGTATATGCATCTGTTTATTAGATAAAGACATTTTGTTATGTTTATGTTTTGCAGTTGATCCACAAAAGTTTTTTTGCCCTAATTATATATTTTTTAAGTTTTAATATAAAATATTAAAATATATATACTTTAATGCAGAATTTAAATATGTATTTAATCACTTTTAATATGGAATTTGGAGTTTGTGGAACTTTGGAAATCATTACTAATTTGTTTATTACTTCTGTTAGTTGGTCAGCATTTTTATATTTCACAGGAGTATTATGTCTGTTTAAAGACTATGAAGTTCAAAAAGAAGGAGTGCTGATTTAAGGTCAGGCAGTGAGTCAATATTATAATGCAGATTTCCTGACTCTAAACATATTTCCTTTATAATTTATATACTAAATTAGGGAATCCATAGAAATTGGTATGATAATATAGATACTGATAAAGAGATGGTATTGGTGTCATCTATTGTTGGAAGGCACTCTACTCTTCCACTTGCCTTTAGGTGTGGAGAAATAGGGCCAGACTCACAGAATAATTTGAATTCAAATTTATTTTATTTCTTATCCTCCAATATGCGAACATCAATAATTTTTGTCTTGCCTAAGCCCTGTTCCTGAAGGCTGTCCACCATTTCCAAAATATTAAGTACCAGGTTTGGCAAGAAAAGATGTATTGATTTATTAATCAGTTATCAACATATTTGTTATTTAGTTCGTTCAGATTTATTGAGATGCTTTAATTGCAAAGCACTATTCTAGGCACCACAGGCTTTGTGCTAAGTATTATGCACTGAATATTATGTTTAGCTGTATTCATGGATGCGCCGTTCATTTTGAATATGTTGAAAAAATATTCACATATTTTGAAAAGTTTGCAGGTTTCTTGTCACTCAAGATATTTTCATATGTATTCATTTTGAAAGTATGAAAAAATTCTGGGTTTTTTCCTTTGTGTATATAGGAACTCACTAAAATTAGGTAGGTCTTTGAAATATACTATATTGACTTTTGTTCTAATTATCATTATCTAATATAACAGTATTTTTCATGTCATTCCCTTACACATTTCTTTATCTCCTACAGTATATAATTTAAAAGGTTTCTCCACTCACTAAAACCCATTTATATGGCACATTTAGGGTTGTGCATAAGACTAAAGAAACAAGTTGTTGAATTAGTGCTGCTGAAATGTTATCATTGTTAGATTAATATCCTCAAGAAAGGTCAGGGGTGAGGGTGGGTTAGGGTGAATAATATATGGCGAAATTTCCCCACTTAAAAAATTTGGTCATGTAATCAGTTATATATTTTTCCAAGTTTCTTTTACATTATTATACATTCAGTATCAAAGACCATCTTGTTCCTGAACTTAAGGTGACATATATTCTTTGCTATACTTGTTTTTTATTCTAGCAAAACTTTACAGCATGTGTGTTTTCAGAACACATTATTGGAGTAAGGAAAATAAGATTGAAATACTGATATTATGTCCTACTCAAAAATGTAAGCAGTATTTTAAGGCAAGTGTTGTCCAGTAACATCCGTGATTCTAACATATCTTTTTTAGTTTATCAAATAGTATTTAAGTTATTTTTGATAGTTGAAAGTCAAATAGTGACAGACTATCTTTTCTTTCCTTTTCAATTATGC